GCTTTTGGAGGACCTCTTTAGACGAAGCTGCGTTGTTGCCAGTTAATGACCCGGATCCTTTCCTCAGTGTAGCTGAGTGTTTCCGGCAGGGAGGAGGGGAGAGCACTAACCCAGAGCCCAGGAGACGGCGTCGCACTCCTCGGGCTCGGGCCAGGAGCTTCTGCTTTCCTGAATTCCCCGGAGCTCCAAAGGGCACGATGTCCTTAGACAACCGGGCATCGCGCTCACAGGCCACACACGCCGGCGGCGGGGCCGTGGGCCTGGGCCGCTGCCCACTCACCTCCCTCTCCAGGCACACCACGCACTCCGCGGCGGGGGCCGAGGGCCTCGCAGGCTCGGGCAGCTCCTCGGGGGCCGTGGGGGGCTCCAGGTCCCAGAGGCCCTCATCCTGGGGCGGTTTCGGCAGCTCTGTGGGGACCAGAGGGAGGGACTGAGCCAGGGTCACCCCCAGGGGTCCCAACCCCTGGCGCTCCCTGGTCCTGCCTGCCCCAGTGAACGACGAAACGGGGTTCACTGACCTAAGAGCCCACATACCCCTGATTTCTCTTCTCTGAGCTCCGCTCGCCTCAGTGAAGCAGGGGAAGGCGGCAGGAGTTCTGACTCCCACGCCACCAGGCTCAAGGGGGCAGCGCTTGCTTGCCCAAGGCACCGGGCCGTAAGGCACAGCCACTGCCCTGGGCTCGGCGCGGGGGCTCTGGGAGGTCCGGGCTGGCTCCCAGCTTCTCTCCCCGTCACCCTGGAGGGGGACGCCCACCGGGTGACTCAGAAGCAGGAAGTCCAGGTGCCCTGGACCCCGCAGCAGCCCTGGGGGTCAGGACCCCGCAGCAGCCCTGAGGGTCAGGACCCCGCAGCAGCCCTGACAGACCCGACAGTGGCCTGAGCCCTTCCCACTCAGTGGTCACCTTTCCCCTTCATTCCGTGGTTTGGCTTACGATCAGGAAAACCCTGACGGTTGTTCTGAAAGGTGATTACAGCTCCAGACCCCCCAAGGCTGTCCCCCAACCACCCCGAAGGAGAAAACGCACGCCGGCTCCCGGGTGCACAGAGAGCGGTAGGAAACGCCATGCCGAGGACCCCAGAGGACCCCTCCGGGGCGGCTGCAGCGGACTCGGCCACAGGCAGAGCCCCGGGGGGGGCTGCGGGCACGGCCGCCCGGAGTCCTGAACCTGAGCGAGTGGGCGCCCGCCCGACCACAGCCCACCCGGCCGCGCCTGGCGCAGAGGCCTGGTGCCGATACCTGGCTGCAGCCTGGCCGCGTCCAGCAGCTCCTGGACCCTCCGCAGGATCTCGTGCTGCAGGCCGGCTTCAGAGACACCCACCTGCAGCAGCCGAGCAAGAGCAGGTTACGGCCCGGGGGCGGGAGCCCGTGGCTCAGCCTGGAGCCCCCGCTGGCCAGGCCCACGGGGCTGCCCGTCCTGGGCCCCCGCGTGCATCCAGAAGGCGGCGTGGGCTCCGGGTCGCATGAGGCGGCAGAACAGCACAGCCGTGGGGC